ACCAATTCATAGCTGAGCCTCCAGTGGGTTTTCAGAGGCAGTAAATCACATGGAAGGAGACTGCCCATCTATTTCTTGGGGAGCACCTGGTGGATCTGAACCATGTGCCTTCGGGCCTGTGTGATTTATAGCCTCTTAAAATCTGTTGGTGGATCAGCTATGAGTTGGTTCCCACTACACAGTACACACAACAGAGTGCTTAAGGCGCTGTGCTGCCAACCCAAAGACAACAGTATGAACGTACCAGCTTATCTGTGGGAGAAAGATGGGCAAGCTGCTCCCGTGCATTTTACAGACTCTGAAAACCAGCTGCAGGGCAATATAGGAGCTGAGTCCAACTCCACAGCAGTGACTGATTTCTGACTTTAGACTGTCAATGGAGGAGATTGCCCATCTTTCTCTCTTGGAACCACTGGTGGTTTTAAACCATCAGAGAAGTTAGCAAGGTTAGCAAGCAGTGCAAATTCTTAACATATGTGCCCCCAGAGCTCCCAATGATTAAAAGGCCATGAAGTGATGGTAAGCCAAGAGCAATGAGAAGATTCGTGTCCCAGCTGCAGCAACATTCCTACCAAAGCAAACCAGAGTTTCTTAAATGAATGACTAGTTTTAGTTCTATAGCAAAAGCTATACACTTTACACCAGAAGCAAAGAAATGACTAAAGACTAGTGAGTTGAGTTTGATGAACACAAGACTAACACACCAAGGGCCCCAATGGTTAAAGGAAATCATATATGAGGGAGCAGAAAGAAAAAAAAAAGAAATGTGATCCACTAAAACACTCCTCAGCATCTTCAACAAATCCCATGGCCATCAAGGCAAGTCTCATACAGAGTGATCCTCCCCCAGTGGTTTCCAAGGCTATTAGCTCATTATGGGAAGGCACTGCCCTTCTTTCTCCCCAGGAGCAGTTGGGGGATATGAACTGTTGATCTTCAGTGGGCAGTGAAAGGCTAAATGGAATAAAGCGATTATATTTTTAAACAACCACAAAAAAACCAAGTTTTTGCTCCTACTTGTTACAGTTCTACCTTCCTAGAGACTGGGAATTTCTGAATGTTTCAATGTCAAATCCACTTCTGAAAGTCTCCATAATAATGAAATGAAATTAGTATTCTCAGTATTGCTTCTTTGGTGTGGATACCTCATTATGCACTGCAGATTATAAGACTTGGTTTCTAATTTTAGATTGGTATGTGCAATAAATGTCAAATGAATTCCTATTAGAAATGGCAAAGCAGTGGGAGATTTTGAATGCATGCCTTAACTAATGTAACAAAGGAAAGATACAGGAAGCTCTGCTTCAAATGCCAAGTGGAAGCAAATAGGGAACTAGGGAAAGAAATAACGAAGTGGTTCTAATAAATTTAGACAAATCACAGTCTCCCAAACACAAAGCTTCTTCTGATTTCTTTTAATATAGATGTTTTAGGACACTTGGTAGGTATAAAACACATTTCTAATTGCAGACTAGAGATTAGAACAATATAGTCAGGATACTTATAGTTGCAACATTACATAAAAGTTATTGTTGTTGCTGTGTGCACTCTAGTCAGAACCAACTCATAGCTGACCCTCTAAGCAGGTTTTCAGAGGCAGGAAATCACCTGGGCGCAAATAGCCAATCCTTTCCTCTCAGAAATGCTGGCAGATTTGAACTGCGTGCCTTAGTGATTGCAAGCGCAACTTTTTACCACTTAGGCTACCACAGCTCCCTAGCAGCCAACAGATCAGAATATATAGCTGAGGATACTTATAATTCAAACATTATGTGAGATAAAAGTTATTACGGCTGAAAGCAGCAGGGACTGTTGGCCTAAAACATAATATTTTCTTTTTTTTTTTTTTAAATTTAGGTTGTTTATTTTTCATTTCAATGAACATCTACAGAGATTTTGGGATAATCTTTGCTTTTAAGACTTTCTTAATTTTAAGTACTTAGCAGCTTCTAGTTCAGAGAAAGTTTTAATGAATTAAGGATCCACTGTTAACACAAAAAGAAAGTTTAAAAAAAACCCAACTCTCACAAAAATAGCCCAAAACACAGGGTTTATTTCTCTTTTTATAAGCTTAGGATGAGAAAATGCTTCTCTAAAAAAATAAAAGAAAATGCTTCTCTAAGTAAACTACTAAACCCACATTTCTCAAAGGAAGACATTGACAAATCTGACTCCACAATCATTCATGTTTTTCTATTGCAAAGGAAAAAGAAACAAACTTAAAAAGTCTGAGGTGTAGATTAGGAGACACTATCTGCAACAGATATAAATCAGAAGATGAAAATAGTTTCACAGAAGTCAAATGGCCAGTGATTCAATGACAGGATAAGGACAAGTTTCATGATCAATAACAGAAATAGCAACAATGATTTACTAATCTGATTAAGGATTAATGAAGGCTGGCTTAACTGGTGATGGCCAGATTCCGGGGGAAGATTTCCTCATATATTACTGACGGGAATGTACGGGGGACATTAAAAATATCCCTTTGGCAGGGTTTACGGACAGAAAGTTCACCACAGATTGTTTTATAGATTGAATTATAGAAATACCTGACAATGTAATACTTCAGAGCTTTTACAAAGAATATGGTAGATCTATATTCAATAATATTACAAGATCTATTTTTATTGTAAAATTGAAAAAACAAGCCATAGAGGCATGTAATCCTAGTTCACTGGTAGAAAAACAAACCAACCCAAACTCTATCTTAGAGGCCTGACTTAATGCACTTGCTTAACTATATAAAAAGCAACAAGGACTTGTTTAGCTACAGAGAAGGGGAGTGGAAATCTGGGTGAAGAATACCTCACTCTTCACTATCTTTTTCCAGCACTATGTATAAACTTTTCTCTTAACAAGTATATATTAATGTATTACTGTACAACAAGAATTTCTAAAAAAGATAATGTATTTCTACTAAAATTCTTTTTCCAATATAAAGTCAGCTATCTTGACACAACAAACTACATAGTAAACCATGCCTTTATGATGTCTCTCTCTCACTCCTTCCCTTCCTCCCTCCTTGTCATTAAGTCGGAACTGACTCAAAGCTGATCTGCCAGCACGTTTTCAAGGGTGTAAACCAAACAGGAGATTGTTCATCTTTCTCCTGAGGCGCTACTGGGGATTTATTTAAACTACGAGGAAAAAAGCAGGGCCTTTAGATTAGCAGTACAACGAGAGGACTATGCCACCAGAGTTCCCTGGTTCAGTTTCTTTGAGATGACACCTAAAAATAAAAGCAATCTTGGAGTTACAATTTAAAAACTAGAGCATTTTGCTAGGACACTGGTCATGTTCAACTGGATGAACACGGTACCCAGGTAGTACAAAGGTGGTTTGCCCAGATGGTTCCTTGGCCTCTGGGCAATCCCTATGACAAGTATGCAGGCCATGCCCCCTGTTCAACTGCTCTGGTGGCCATGATACTCGTTCAGAGGATAGAATGAAAATCTCTTTCTGAAACTTCAATCCACTGGTCTCACTTGGAATTAAGAGCAGGGTAAGGTTTAAGCCCTTAAGATCTTTGGGGTACTATGGATCTGTCAGCACAATACTTTGAAATGTAATAGAAATCAATTATAATAATGCTTGCTATCCCAGAAAATTTGTGATCAGGACTCTAGTACTTGATGACACATAAAACCAGAGATACTGTAGGGAGTTCCAACCAGTTTTTAATAAAATGGTGCTAAAATAATGTGGGCAGTAGAGTTGGCCAGACCCAGACCAACAATCAGCCACTAACAGCCCTAGGACACCCTTGAACCAGTTACTTAATCTCTCCACATTCTAGTTTCTGTCTCTAAACAGAAGAGCATGTCTCACATAGTTAAGGGTAAAATGTTTAGTACTTTCCAGAGTCCTGAGTATGAGCTCATCTTACTACTGGATTAACTACTTCCTCAGCAAAAGTCCATTCTGGCCTAACTCTGAGTAGGTGCTGCAAGTTTCTTTTACTTCGTCACTGAGTTACACTGAGAGCCGTTCTCTAGGATGTCACGGTGTTCACTGGCAACGTGCAGGCAGCTGACCAATAACCCCAACTCAACTACCCTGGAGTGGAATATGACTCACAGTAACCCTTAGGCTTAGGCTGCAAATTGTTACAGGAAATGACTACCAATTTTTTAGTAGGCGGATTTGAACTGCCAGACTTTTTTTTTATTAGCAGCTTGACATGTTACGCACTAAACCAAGAGGACACTATCTGTCCTTCATGAAAGACTTAAGAATACCCAGGAATGTGTACATAAGAAACACCTAGGGATCTTGTTAAAGTGTTGATGATTCAAGTATCTGGAGGGGAAATTAAAATACTAAGTAGAGGGTAGAACCAGAAAGAACTGGTTCTAAGTCATGCTAGGAAACTGAGCTGTCTCAGTTCAATACTGAAAATGGTCTCTAGCAGGACAATATGTAATTGGGAGAAGGATTAAAAAAACCAGACTTCCCCCAGAAGGCCTTCAAAGAAAAAAAATTAGGAGATGGGGAGAGGGTGAGTGGATGGCACAGAAATACAGGCAGTGTTTCCCCTTTCAGTCTAGGGGAAGGCAGGAGTACTAACTGGCACTTCAGGATCCTCTTATCTGAATTCCTTTATTCTGGGAGGCATAGTCACTTCTGACAACAGGGTTAGGTAGGAATGAGATCAGAGGCCAGGAAGCTCAAAGTTAGCAATATGAGCTTACACAATTCCTTTAAAATTATCCAGCCTATGGAGACAAGAAAAAAAACAAGGTAGGATTTGGGTCAGGAATCCTGCCAGTACCAAGGCGGGGTAGGGTGGTGTGGAATGAAACCGTGGTGTTTCATGCTTGAATGTCTCTCAGAAACCGTTGGAGAAGTGACATAATCCTAATATATTGTACTTCAGCATTCAACACATATTAAAAAGAAAATTCTCTCCCTGAAAGTCCCATAAAATCTCTGAACAAAATGAAGCTGAGTTAAAGGTACTATTTTTAACAAGATGGAGTAGTAGGGTCACATTTTACCTTGTCAACATTAGCTCTCGTCTTAGCAGATGTTTCCACATAGTTAACATTCCACTGATCAGCTCTGTTTTTTGCCTCTTCCACAGAAACCTGCCTTTTATCCTCTAAATCTGATTTGTTACCAACCAGCAGAAATGGAACATTCTCATCTTCTTTTACTCTTAAAATCTGCTCCCTGGAGAAGGAAAAATCAGAATAAAATATTACCATTACTTTTACATAATAACAAATAGTCATCTTCAACTAGCACTTATTTATATTTACTATGTTTCTATAAATATATATTGGGAAAAGGGTGGGCAAGCCCCTCTTGTGTGATCTACTGCCTCTGAAAACCTGCTGGAGTGGCAGTTGGTCCTGACTCAGCAGCATAAAACATACATACATACACACATATACATACATACATACATACATACATACATACATACACACATACGACATAATGCATTGGGAAAGCCAGTTGTCTGGGACTTCGCCACATTATGGAGGAACAATGATGTCAGTTTGAAGACCAGGTGTGCCTGATTCAGGCTGTGGTCTTTTCAATCATTCTCTATGCATCTGAGAGCTGGACAATGAAAAAGGATGACAGAAGAACTGATGCCTTTGAGTTGTGGCATTGTAGAAGAGTACTGAATATCCCACACTACCAAAAGAAGGTATGTTTTGGAGAGAGAGCAGTTGAGTCACCTTGGAAGGAAAGATGACAAAGCTTTGCCTCACATACTCTGGGCATGTTGTCAGGAGGGGCTATTCTTAGAACATCACACTTTGAAAGGTGCAGGGTGGCAAAAGAGAAGACTCTAAACCAGATGGGTTGACATGATGACTGCAGCAACAGTCTCGAGAATATCAGAGATAGATGATGGGGATGGCACCGGGTAGGGCAGGGTTCTGACTTATGTTCATAGACTTGCTATGAGGTGTACTCAACTCAATGGCACCTAACACCTGAGAGATAAGGAAACTGAGGCACAGAAAAATTCTGTAACTTGCTTGTTCTTGTTGTGGTGTACCACAGAGTCAGAACCGACCCACAGGTGATCCTCCTGCGAGTTTTCAGAGGCAATTAATCACTCAAGAGATGATTGCCCATTCTTCTGTGGAGCAGTGGATGGTCTTGAACTGCGTACCTTCAGGATTACAGCGCAGCTTCTTGCCACTAGGCCACCAGAGCTCTGTAACTTGCTTAGAAGTAGACAAATTAGAATCTGAACCTGAGCAACGTCACTTCAGGGCATGTACTCAACTTCTACACTGGATGCCACCATGGGCTATCGCTGGGAAACAAACTTTGTTCAAGAAGGTTTAATTCTCAAAAGTTCTTCATGACACCACAATTCTGATATGGAATGGACACTAAGGCATTCATTGGACATTATAGTGCATCTCTCCATGTTACAGAACATTTTCTCTGCATGGCAGTTACCAATGAGCAGAGGGTGACCATTCTTATTACATACAAACAGTTAACAGCTCAAATCCATGTAGGAATGCTTGGTAAAAGTAAAAGGAACACTCTCAGTCACAAAAGAACAAATATTGCATAGGGCTACTGTTGTAAAACAGGACTGACATAGGGGCTGAGGGAAGGCAGAGAAGCAGGGGAGGAATGATGTATATTGCATTGAAATAGATGAGGAAGGGAACTGTTTAAAAGGGATATGTGATTAGGTATTATTGTCAGGACAGGAGTCCAGAATGAAGGCTGCACAGTGCAGTGGACTTGGGGGGGAGGGAGTGCATAACAACGAAAGAGGGGTTTTTTTGTTTGGGTTTGGTTTTTTTTGTTTGTTTGTTTGTTTTTTACTTTTCAAGGAGAAAAGTGCAACAATGAATGACTGGAAACCCTAAGTCTGTAAACTCATTAAAATTAATAATTAAAAAAGGAAAAAGGAATGTGTGGATCATATAAAGATCATTTTATCTTTTAGAAAAAAATGTTCTAAATCCAAGAGTTTTGATCTGTTGTACATGGGCCACTATGAGTCAGAGTCAACTTGCAAGTACCTAATAACAGCAAAGAGCATATTTGAAAAGGGGGGGCAAAAGAGAGTAAGAGCCTCAGTGGGACAGACTGACACAATGACTGCAACAATGGGCTTGAGTGCATCAGAGATGATGAGGATGGCACTGGACAGAACAGGGTTCAGATTTATTGTTCACAGCATTGCTGTGAGTCATACTTAATTCAACATTACATAACAAAAACGATTCTGTCAATATTTCTAGGGTGCCATCCTGTAAACACAGCCCTGCTTTCCAGGGATGCCAAAGTGAAAATGTGTGCCCCTGGAATGATAGAATACAGGAGTATCACAGGCTTGCTTAGTAAATGGGTTTACACACTACTGCTTAGAACAGTATATCGCATATGATAAATGCCATGTAATGTTAGGGGGTATCACGGACTAAACTATGTCCCCTAGAATGTTGTTGTTGTTATGTGCCGTCGAGTCGTTTGTGACTCACAGCGACCCTATGTACAACAGCCCTAAACCCTGCTCTATCCTGTGCCAATCTCATTGCCTCTGACACACCCATCCCGATTACTCCAGTCACTGAATCAATCCACCTCATAGAGGGTCTTCCCCTCCTGCGCTGTCCCTCCACCCTCCCAAGCATGATGTCCCTCTCCAAAGACCTGTCTCTCCTTACAACATGTCCAAAGTATGTCAGGCGAAGCACCAGAATCCTTGCCTCTAAGGAGCAGCCTGGTTTAACCCTCTCTAGGATGAATCTGTTTGTTTTCTTGGCAGTCCATGGTACTCTTCCATTCAATACTCTTCTCCAGCACCACAGCTCAAAGGCGTCAATTCTCCTTCTATCCTCCCTAGTCACTGTCCAACTCTCTGATGCATAACAAGCGATTGCAAAAACCATGGCCTGTATCAGGCGCACCTTAGTCTCCAGAGAGACACCGTTGCTCGTGAGTGCTTTAGAGAGGTCCCTAACAGCAGACTTTCCCATCAGAATACATTTTTTTATTTCCTGGCTGCTGGTGCCAAGAGTGTTGACCGTGGAGCCGAACAGACTGAAGCTGAGAACAATCTCAATCTCTTCACCATCCATCCTGATGCTACCAATATGTATATAATGATACAACATGGAAGCTATGATCTCTTAAACCAAACAACACTAGTAGGATTAGGAGTGAAATGTCACCTGCTCAATTACAATTGACCCGCTAGTGGGTTTTCAGAGTCAGTGTACTGCATGGGAGGAGTCTGCCCATCTTTTTTCCTGATGAGCTGCTGGCGGATTCAAACAGCCTGTCTTTGGCAACACAACTCCCAGGACATAAGCTAGAACCAAATCAGCTTCTTTCTTCATTTGTGGACACGACTGTCCTCTAGGTTCAACCATTTCATGAAGGCTTACCAGTTCCTTCTTCCTTCTGACCTGCCCTGTACTGATCACTGCCCATGTTTTTCTGCTTTATCACTAACCTGTTCTTATTTTAATGACCTTTAATATTTCTACCAGAGCTTATATATATTTATACACACACACATATACACACGTATGTGTGCGCGTGAATATGAAATTAAATAATATCTATGATTGTTGCTATTATGTGCAGTCGCCGATAACTCGTAGCGATCCTATGTACAACAGCTCTGAACCCTGCTCTGTCCTGAGCTGACTTTATTGTCTCTGACACAATTACCCTGATTACACCGGTCACTGAGTCAATCCAATTCATCCAGGGTCTTCCTCTCTTGCACTGTCCCTCCAACCTCTCAAGCATCAAGTTCCTTTTCAAGGACTGTTAACTCCTTACAACATGCCCAAAATACGTCAGATGGAGCTTCAGAATCCTTGAGCAGCCTGGCTTTATCTTCTCCAGGATGAACCTGTTTGTTCTCCTAGCAGTCCATGGTATATTCAATAATCTACTCTAGCACCACAGCTCAAAGGCATCAGTTCTCCTTTTATCCTCCCTATTATCTCCAGTCATTGTCCAGTTTTCTGATAATTAACAAGTAATTGTGAAGACCATGGTCTGGATCATGTACATTTTAAGTCTCCAGAATGACAATGCTGCTCTTCAGTACTATGGAGAGGTACCTGACAGCAGGCTTTCTCAATGCAATTCATCTTTTGATTTCCTGGCTGCTGGTACCAAGTGCTGATTGTGGAGCCAAGCAAACTAACACTATTAACAATCTCAATATCTTCATCATCTATCAGGATTCTGCCATTCGGCACAGTGGTAAGAATCTTGGTTTTCTTGATGTTGAGCTTCAATCCATATTGAAGGCTGTAGTCCTTGACCTTCTGCAGCAAGCACTTGAGGTCCTCCTCAATTTCAGTAAGCACGTTGTGTTATCTGCATAATGCAGGTTGTTGGTAAGTCTTCCTCCAACACTGATGTCACATTCCTCCTCATAGAGCCCAGATGATTTGTTCCGCATACAGATTAGAAAGGTATGGAGATAGGACACATCCCTGGACCATACCCTTCCCAATTTTGAATGATGCAGTGTTTCCTTGCTCTGTTCTGACAACTGCCTCCTGGTCCAAGTATAGGTTTTGCATAAGTGCAATCAAATGTTCTGGGATTCCCATTCTTCTCAGATTATTTATGTAGTTATTTGTGAGACAACTCAAGAACTTCATTAATGTCAGTTTTACTTTTGGGAAGAAAGGGAGTAAGACTTAATGGACAGATTAAGTTGGGTGATGGGAAAAGCAATATACCGTAAAGGGTATAATTGTAATCCATTAATTAATCAGTAGTTATTTTTTAAAAAAGTAAATGCCAATTTTATTTGCATAGATTTAGAAAAGAGAAACATTAAAATAAGTAAACTCAGGAAACCGTATCTTCGGATATTCCTTTAATTCTTTTATTATCTCCTGCCATAGAGTTGGGGACAGGAAATGACGTGAAAGTTCAGGGAAACAGCAACATTTACCTATAAAAAAACTCAAGTGTACACTTAGGAATCAACTTCCAATTTCACTTCATTATTCTGCTTTGTTTTTCATGGATTTTTCTCTTATTTTTTCCATTCTTCCTTTCTAATCTCTTGTCTTCCTTTTCCTCTTTTTTTCTCTTTCTGATCTTTAATTAGGAAAAACACATGTTCCAGATCTTTCAGGGGCTTCCATTTATACCTTATCAAAACCAATCACATGGAACATCTTTCAAAATAATTCTACTCTCAGGGACCTTTCCAGAGTACTGAGAAGCAATGATGTCAATCTAGAGACTAAGATACACCTGTTCTAGTCCATGGTCTTTGCAATTACTTGCTATGCATCAGAGAGCTGGATAATGACTAAAAATGACAGAAGAAGAATTGATGCCTTTGAGTTGTGGTGCTAAGGGAAGAGACTTGATCATGGACTACCAAGAAAATAAATAAGTCTGTCTGGGAGCAGGTGAAATGAAGTTTCTCCTTGGAGGCTAGAATTTTGAAGCTCTGTCTCACATACTTTGGGCATGTGGCCAGGAGGGACTGATCTCTGGAGAAGGACATCACGCTTGGAAGGGTGGAGGAACAGGGTTGGAGAGGAAGATCTCGGCTCAGATGGATTGATAGCATAAATAGGGCAATGAGAGTAGGTATATCTGAGTCAGCGAGACTGACTCAGGACAAGACAGGCTTCAGAGCTACTGTACATAGTCGCTCTGAGTAGCAGGTAATTTGACAGCATGTAATAACAACAACGATGTTACAAAACAAAATGTCTATGAATGACTTCATGAATAACCCACATAATTTATAAACTTTCACTAAAAAAAAAAAAATTAAGTTCTTCTTTAGCTTCAAAACAAGTTCTTTTTACTTAAAGAAAAGAGGTCTTCATACCTTTACCAAAACCTGCCCCTAAACCATAAGGATGCCAGGTTTTGATTAGGCAACACAATCAAGTATACTACCTGGCAGTAATACTAGTTTTCTTAAAAATGTTCAATATTACATGCTGTTAAGTGTCTGCATCATGAGAAGATGGCAATGGCCTGCTAAGTATTAAACAGATGCTGAGAATCAGTGACTTAACAAAAGAAACCTTAAAATCTGGGATACAGCTCCATGGTGTAATCAAAATACCAACAATTCTAACACTATTTTACTACAAAGAATACTACTTCAGCAATGCTTAAAGGGACTTGGGGACCTTGGGGCAATCACAAACTCAACTTTTAACACAAAGGACATAAGGATAGCTATTAAGATCGTGTATACTGAATATCTGGGTATAGGTATACATTGTGGAGAGTCATATATTAAAACCAATTAACAAAGAGCTCCTTGTTTCGAGGGAAGAAACTTGTCATACAGAGTATCAGATGAATCACACTGGCCCCTGACATACCTGAAGTCAGCGGTGGCTGCAAAGGATTCCATTTCTGTAATAGAGAAGACACAGAGGAAACCTTCTCCACTTCGGAAGTAATTGTCTCTAATTGCAGCATAGTCCTCCTGCCCAGCAGTATCTAAGATATCAATCTGGACTTCTTCCCCATCCAGCACTACTTTCTTCCGATAGCTGTCTGCTTTGGTAGGCTCATAGTCCTCCACAAACTATAAAAGATGAAATGACATCAATTTTTAAATGATTATATTTACTTTTCAAAACTTTTATTTTAAAATAATCAGGACTCACATGAAGTTGCCAAAACAGTACATAGAAGTCCTGTGTACCCTTCACCTAGTCTCCACCAATGGTTAAAATGACATTAATTTTTATTTTAGACAACTTGGCAGCTTCCACAGCTGCAAAAAGAGAAGGATGAACTATTAGCTTCAGGCTGTTTACAGTTTGAAAGCTGTGCCATGTTCTTCTTCCTTAAAACACTATACTTGCACAAGGTAATTACACATAGATTTTATCAAATCTATCCTTTTCTATGAGATATAAATTATACATATATATATATTTATTATAAATATTAAATATAAATCATCGTGCCAAAATTTTGGAATACCTTGAAAGGAAGTAAATGTGTAGGAAATCACTGAAAGTTATTCTTACATTTTTCTTTCTGAACAATGAACCAACTCAATATGCTCTGTACAGATCAAATCATGAACTTTGAGATTTTTCTACCAACTATCACATAGCTTTAAATGGAAACAGAGATACAATTTTACTTTATCGTGTCTACTTCCAACCCTATAAATCTTGAGCATAGGATCAACTACTGCATCACTTCTCATTTCTGCCACTATGATATCTTTCATTGTTACTATGTGCAATAGACACACGATCCACATACCTACAGAGTTTCAAAATTACTTAATGATTTATCACTAGGTGATAATTTCTGGTCTACCTAATGTCTAGGTAATTATTAAATACACTAGGCAAAGAGTATCTGTAAAAACTATACTTCATTCTACCATATTTCCATGCTAACATTGTGCTGAGCCATTCAGCAAAGGTCAGGCATCTAAATATTCATATTCTCGTTACCCATTATGTACAATGGCTTGGATGAGCTTCCACACTGATTCATGTTGGGAAGCAGGAGTGGCATCCATTTCCTAAACTAGATGCCTCTGGAAACTCTACAAACTCTCTTATAAATGTATAGAAATTATGTGACTTATAGAACAGAGTTCAGGTCTTTTGTGCAGAGCTTACTTTAGTCATATTCGACTAAATAACACTTAACCACTGATAAATGAGATTAGTGCTATTACATCTGGAGGAACAGTCTTCCACTTTGCACATCACTCTTTGTCAATGTGCTATATGAGGTAACCTGAGTTTGCTATGATGCTGAACCTTGTGCCATAGGGATATCAAATACCAAAATGGTTTCCCATTGTGGACAGTGTTTGGTGGAGCTCCCAGTCGTAAAACAGGTTGGGAAGCAGGAGTGGTATCCAATTCCTAATCCACATGCCTCTAGAAACTCTATGAACTTGGGGAAACAACAATAGCTATGGAAAGGCATTAGGTCTTTTGTTCACACCACCACCACCACCACCACCACCATTGTTAAGGAGAAGGGGACTGATGAGGATTAGCTTGATATAAGCTATTCAATGAATAGTATGGAAAAACAGTAGTAAATTAGAAATCTTACTTAAAGTAACATTTCAGTTCTTTTTCTCACCTCAAACTTAACAACAATGGGTACTGTCTATGTGAAAGCAATGATGATGCTTAAGCAACAGAAGAGACAAAGGTGATGAAAATCTCTAAGCTTTTGTAAGGAGACCAGGCTTGCTCCTTGGTGTCTCATCAGATATCACTCTTCTTGGCCAAGATAAATAACCCATCAGAAGTTATGTCCTCATCTGTACAATGAGGATGCCACTACCACTATGCATGACTGTGAAAAAGCATTAGGTAAGAAAGAATGCAGAAAATAAAAAATCTTGCTGTTACTGGGAGGAAAGAGAACTGAGGATGTGTTAATTGGATTACTGACTCGTAAATTGTTAAGATTTGACAAACAGTCCCCCTGGGAAAGAATATACTGGTGTTTATAGGCACACGCTTTGACTATGGGACAACAAACTTTGATGTAAATATGTGTACTGAAACCTGTAACTTGTAGTAACTGTAAACGTAATAACACAACCTGTTTAGCAGTGAGTACAGTGCCAAGCCAAAAACACAACAAATGCCTGACTTTTCCACGAAAGAACACTTGTTATATGTTAATCTCAAGTCACAGGCCCTATACTCAACAGTTCAATTAACTTAAGGTAGGACTTTACTAAGACACTAAAAATAAGCAGAAGTTATATTCCTGAAATGATAGATTCTGTCTTCATTTTTTTTAAACCCCAGTATGATACTGTTTCCTGTATTTGTTTTATAAGCCATGAAATTTTTAAGGAACTTGGGATCTTGACTTGCAAAATCAATTAAGTACTTGGCCCAGAATTTTAAAAATGAAATCTAGCTTCCTAAGATTCAAGAAATCCATCTAAAATAGCCCCAAATTAGGCTAAAGAAAAAGCTCCTGAAAACCCAAACATAGACTTTCATAGTAAGATCAGTACTTACCTCATCATACATAAACTGCAGGGTCAGAGCGGACTTCCCCACACCACCACTGCCCACCATGATAACTTTGTGCAAGGCCAGAGAATTCTGACCCTTGGGCTTATTTGCCGCCATCTTCTGTTGAAGAGTTTTCACCAAAGGATGAAGAAGAAATCTAAAAGGAATTAAATAAGTAGCCCTTAGTACATTCTCCAATATTACAGTGTAGGAAAGAGAAAGCATGTTTTTAGGGTTCAAGGAACTAGTTTTCATTTTGTAGTGATTTTAAATAGATGGCAAATGAAGCACACTCACTCAAGGCAAGAGCCACTCATCAGGGAACACCCAGTAGGCAATAAAGCAAACATGTGGTCCAAAGGGCATTTCTCATCAATAGGTGAGTTTTGGTAAGGGAGCTATATCTAAATGTGAAAATTTCCCACTATAACTGCATGCTGATAGTAAGGCAATATTCAACATATTGAAACAAAACCAAATAGTATACGAAAACAAACTAATGGATCATCTTATGTTAACCTCTGCCCTGCCAACCCAAAGGCAGGTGATTCATATCAGAAGTAATCAGGGTCAGAAGTAACCCTCCAGCAGGTTTTCAGAGGCAGTAAATTGCAGAAAAGAATGCAGAGAAGCTGGTGGGTGTGAACCACGTACCTTTGGATTGGTAGTGCAATTTCTTACCACTAAACCAGAGCTTCCTCAGTCTTACTAGAAATTTTTACTCTGTATTAGGACTTCCCTGCCCTGGTTCTCAAATAGCATCTTCTATTTTTCCTTAGTTACTCTTAGCTCAATTTGAAATTGCCTGTGTGCATACTTTTTTTTTCTTTTTTAAGTGACATTTTATCACGGTTTGATGAAAGTTTACACAATGTTGGTTCCTGTTTGACAATTCTCACACAAAAGATGAATGGCACCTGTTACACTCCATACTGTGTCAACATCCTCTTTGTGCTGTTTGTTTCTAGTATTTTTGCTTCCTTACATCCTTCTCTTCTTTGCTTTGGATTAAACAATGGCTGTTTGGACTTCTACAGATGTTTTGTTCAGAGAGCACCAATTTAGCAGGCAAGATATTTGTGTGTCACTGCTTTTCTGCTAAAAGGAGACAGTTTTGGCTCAAGGACTAAAGAGGTTTTCAAGGCAATGGTATTGGGAAGTCTCCTGGTTTGAGTGGTCCAGTTAGGCTGGATGTCTTTAAGAACTCAAGTTTTGATCTGTATTATTCTTTCATTCTCATCAGGCTCATGTATCCGAGTCAGATGGGTCAGCAGAGAGAATAGATGGGCACTATCTAGTTCTTCTGGTCTCAGGATAGGTGAAAACATGGCTGGTACAAGCTGTCAGACTTAGACTTGTTTATTTCTGATACCCTGTTTCTCTTTGAATCCTGAGGAGTACAGACCATTAGCTGCATCTTAGATAGCCACTGCAAACTTATAAAACCCCAAACACTACTTATTTCAACTAGGGTGCAGAACATGAACTATAAATTACACCACTGCTTCATGACTACTAGTTTCATGAAACTAGTCTTGAACTTTCAAATCCAAAAACTAACATGGAAAGAGTCTGGTTCTGTCTGAGGAGTATCTGTAGTTGTGTCTTTAATGAATATATGTCTGTTCACATACATCTCCATTTGCACAGGTATGTACTTGTCCCTAGCCATATATGTGTAAGTCTGCACAAGATCTACCCTCAGTTTTTGGTCTTTCTTGGAATGGCAGCATCCTTACACATGCCAATTAGTATTCTTTTTTCATGAGTGCTGCTGATTGGCATACTCTACTTTGATTATGATGTGTTTTAATTTTTTTCTTTTTTTTGCTTTGTCTTAATATTATGTCTTCTACTTAGCCTGCCTTAATCAACTTGTAAGTATGGGCCATATTTATTTAGTTTGTTGTTGTTATTGGTAAGTGCTACCAAGTTTCTTGCAACTCACAGCAACCCTTTGTACATGAGTTCTAAACCCTGCTCTATCTTGAGCCAATTTCATTGTCTCCTACACACTTGCCCAAATTAACCCAGTCAATAAGTCAATCCATTTCATCAAGGGTCTTCCTCTCTTGTGCTGCTCCTCTACCCTTCTAAGCATGAGGTCCTTCTCCTAGGGCTGGGCCCTCCTGGCACCATGCCCAAAATAGGTGAGATGGTTCATTGTCGTTGATTTGGAACCAACTCAGCTGACCCTCCAATGAGTTTCTAGGAGGCTGTAAATCAGCATTTTCTTAAGAAGCTATTGTTGGATTTGAACCCCTTTTGGGTTGGTAGTGCAACTGCCCACGTACTGTGCCACCAGACCTCCCTATCATTAAAATAATGCTAAAAATACAAAACATCCCAAACCAAAAAACCCTCAAACTCATTGCCATAGAGTCAGAACTGACTCACAGCTGACCATCTAAGAGGTTTTCTGAGCTGTAAATCATAGGAAAGAAGACTATCTTTTTTTTCTAGTCTATCTTTTTTTCCCATGGAGCCACTCACTGGTTTGAATGGCTAGTGAGGTCCACTTTTGGGGTTAAGCAGCACAACTTCCTACAGACTATTCCACCAGAGATCCCTTAAAACAAACAAACAAACAAACAAACAAACAAAACTCATTGCTGTTGAGGTGGAACCAGCTTACAGCTGACCTTTTAGTGGATTCTGAGAGGTATAAATCACACATCTTCCTGGGAGCTGTTGGTAGATTTGAACCTCAGCAGAGGTGCTACCTTTGGGAGTAGGCAACTCCCTCACCAGCAGGCCACCAGAGCTCCCTTAACCAACACAAAATCTGCCTGGCAAAATGAGTTATTCAAAATCTATGTGTTCAAAGAACCAATAAACAAATGTTAGGCATTTGACTTACCTTGGAGAATACTTCACTTCTGTGAACTGGATAAAGATTAAATCACAAGCACAAGCAAAAAGAATTGGCCATGAGCCTACTATGCATTATTCATGGCTGCACAGAGCACCCAACGGCTGGACAATGCTTTTGAGTAATCACGTCCCTTTCAAGAAATCATATGCCCATAAAGCACATACAGAAAATTCATTAAGGGGAAAAAAAAAACACCACCACCAAGAAAATGTGTACTTCCACTATCCAGTAATGCACTGAGAAAATCTGCTGTCAAAGACCTCTCCAAATTACTGTGAAGCAATGATGATAGTTGAAGAATAAGGTGTGCCTGATTCAAGCCACTGTCTTTTCAATCACTTGATATGTATCCGAAAGCTAGACAATTAATAAAGATGACAGAAGAAGAATTGAGGTTTGAGCTCAACACCTTAGAGTTATGGTGTTGGAGAGGAGTACTGAGTATCTCATAGACTGCCAAAAGAACAAACAGTTATGTCTTAGAAAAAGTGTAGCCAGAGTGCTCCGTGGAGAAAAAGATGTCAATCATGTTGCTAGGAGAGGCTAGTCCTTGGAAAAGGACATTATACGTGACAAGGTCAGCAAAGGAAAGGAAGACTCTTAAAGAGATGGATTCACACAGTGACTACAGCAATTCACTCTTGTGTGTCAGAGTTGATAAGGATCGCACAGGATTGAAAAGGGTTCAGATCTGCTGTTCATAGGGTTGCTGAGTCTTACTTGATTTGAAGGTACCTAACAACAGTAACAATACAGTTAATAACTAACATCTTATCCAAACCATGTCATTTAATCTGGATTTATTATCTCACAATATACACATATTTCCCCTATTTTTGCTTATTATTTTATTAAAAACATTTGGCAGAAGCAGTTAGAGAATTATGGCAAAGAATTCATGTATAAGTCACAAATTCAATTCAACAAACAAGAACTGAATCCATTTTTTACCTACGTCCCAAGGGTATAATCTCAGGATTCTGAATTACTATAATTGCTCAGAAACAGTGAAAATTAATAATATACTTCAGATAAATGACTAAAAGTTCATAATACATAAAATCTAAGCTTATGAAACACGCTGTTAAGGACGTTCACAAGTAGATTAGCAACAATTTATTTTTCTCTATTATACTATGATGAGCCTTTCTGGCTGGCAGGTGTAATAATTTCTTGGCTACTTAACTACTGTTCTATTTTTAAATCAGTAAGTACTGCATGAGCTAAGGGAACTCTGGTGGCTGGGTGGCAGAACTGTGCTAACATAAAGTTATACGGTTCAAATCTACCAGCTGCTCTGTGGGAGAAAGATGAGCAATCTTCTTTGATGCAATATTCTGCCTCTGAAAACCTGCTGGAGGGTTGGTTCTGACTCTACAGTAAACATATGGTTTGGTTCTGACTCTACAGGACAAAACAACTTTAGCTAAGAGTGCTTGTTAACCATGTCAAGTTTTCCAAGCGAAATATATAGTTGTCACACTAATTGGTTAAAACATTTTTTTTTCCTTTTAAAACAACTGATGATATGGTCTAGGACACAGATATAAAAAAGACAGATATCCCAAAGATACTGCAAAGTACAAGCATTCTCTAATAACTATTAGCTGCATATCCCATACTTCTAAGAGGTAATCCAGGAAACGAAGTTCCTACCAAAGGGGGGGAAAACTTTTTTTTTTCCAAAATATGAAATTATACAACTTTGCCCCTGCCTACAGGTCTAGGTGTTATTTTGAATGGTAAATAAGACAAAGTTTCTGTCTATCTGGAGCTGGAGAAAAATACAAAGAGGTAAGAAAGCTCCATTAATGGGAATACAATGAAGAAAATGAGGTGAGCGGGTGGAGTTTAAGAGAGGGCTACTTGAACTAGGATGCTGAAGCATTACTCCTTTCAAGAGGTGACATTTGATCTAAGACAGAATGATATAAAGGAACTAGCCAGATCTGTAAGAGTATTAAAACACAGGGCATAAGAAATACAAAGACCCATGCACATCCAGGTTTATTGCTGCATTGTTCACAGTAGCAAAGAGATGGAAACAACCCAAGTGTCCATCAATGAATGAAATCGATAGAAGCTGTGGCATATTCTCAGAATGGAATTCTATACAACACTGAAAAAAGGAACACATGAAATATTATACAAAATGGATAACCATGGAGGACATTATGCTGTGAAATATCTTAGTCACAAAAAACCCAAATACCACATAATGCTAAATAATGTGAAAAACAAG